GGGGCCAGGCTGCCTGCTCTGCTCATCTGCAGAAAGGAGCGCTGGGGCCGCGGCGAACCTGCACAGGCCGGGCCTGGGGGCGCAGCAGAGCCCCGGGTAGAGGGTGGCCACTGCCCTCCCTCCCAGGATGCCCCTGCCCCTCTGCTGGCTGCCTGGTGTCGGGGAGAGGGTGAAGGGGACTTACGTGACCGTGGGAGTCCTGGTCCCCCAAGGGGAGAGGGGACGAGCAGCGCTGTGGGGAGCAGTAAGGGCCAAAGGGCCCCACCTGCCAGATCTCCGGGATCACTCACCGTCAGGAGCCGCCTCTTGGCTTTCAGGACTGACCAGCATGCAGTGGCCAGGGCCTAAGGCAGAGAGGGGACCCCGCCCTGTGAGAACAGCTGGGACCACCAGCTCAACTGCCCCACCCAAGCAGGTACAGGCCAGAAATCCTCCTGCCTCAGCCTCTGCTGCTGAGACCACAGGCGTGCACACCAAGCCCTGCACACTTTTTCCTGGTTCTAATTTAGGGGCTGCATCAGCAACCAGTGGGATCGGAGCCAGCTCAGAAGGAGCGGCGGGGCTCAGACCGCAGGGGCTGCCTGCACGTGGGTCTGATGGGCCGGGGGTTGAGGGTCGTCCCGGAAGGAGCCCTGGGGCGCAGCCTCAGACCTTGGGGAGCCAGCGTCACGCTGGGCCCGGTGCGGCGTACCGTCTCCTTGAAGCTGTCGGACAGCCAGCGGTTCCGCAGCACAGCCAGCACAGAGGACGGCGGGTTCTCCAGGTCCTCAAAGGCGTCCATGAGGATGAAGTCGAGCACGATGTCGAAGAAGCCCATGCTCACCACCTGCAGGGCCAGTGCGGAAGGCGGCTGGGGCCGGGATGTGGGCGGCGGCCGCACGTACCCCTCTCCCAGCCTGGAGACCCCGGTGGCACCAACTCACCCCACGGCCCTCCAGCTCCAGCCTCGTGGTGGCCCAGGTCTCGGGCCGCAGGGCGTAGCTCAGCATCTCCTCATAGCTCTCCAGGAAGCCCTTGGTGCTCTGCGGGGAGAAGCGTGGTGGGAGGGGAGAAGCCACAGGGCCAGGCTGGCACTGGCTGGGACCCAGCAGAACAGGGCTGGGGCCTTGCTGTGAGCGGCGCGGCAGCCGCGAGAAAACAAGAGCAGGCGGGGTCCTGTGCCTGCAGTGCGCTTTTCAGGGAGCGGGAGGCAGCCCCGCAGCTTGGCCCTGCTGCACCGGGACGCAGTCAACGTGCAGCTCAGAGCCGTGCGGTCCAGCGTCCAAACCTCCGTGGCCAGGGCCTCAGGGCCGAGTGGGGAGAAGCCACAGCCCATGCTCCTGAGGCGGTGCACCCATAATGCACTCAGCCCAGGGCACCAAAGCTCTCAGTGCCCAAGGAGTGAGGCCGCTGCAGGCGATGAGGCAGCGCACGCCTGTAAGACCAACACTTGGGAGGCTGAGGCAGGAGGATCACCACTAGGAATAGGCCAGCCTGGGCTACACAGTGAGTTCAAGGCCAGCCTGAACTACATAGCCAGACTCTGTCTCCAAACAAACAATTTGCTGCCAGTCTGCACTTACAGACACGGAGTAAGTGGTGAGCAGCTCGTTTAGTTCCTAGGGTCCCATCAGGGACTTAAGCCTGCCTCACAGACAGAAACGCTGAGACTCTGACACATACTGATGTGGCCAAGAGCCGGCAGGACGAGGCTGGCACAGAGCAGCAGGGACAGGCTGGTGTGGGGGTACACGCCTGGAGTCCCAGCTGCTCAGGAGGCTGATGCAGGGAGTTGGCCCTGAAGGCCAGCCTGGGCGACTTGGCAAGATCCTTTCTCAGAGCACGACAACAAGAGCTGAGATGCGCTCAGTGGAATAGGATGCTGGGATGGCCCCGAGCCATCGCTTCCTGTCTCTGAGCCTCAGTTTCCTTCTCTATAATGACAGATCACGGATGACGACGTGTCCACGGTGGCCTGGCTGAGCAGTAACACTATGATGTGAAAAGCAGGCGCCACCCAGAGCTCACCCGAGGGACCCAGACCCACACAGCACTGTGAGACGCACCACAGACAGCACCCATGCTACCCTGGGACGGTGACTGCCTATGCTTCCGCCCACAGGCCAGCAGCAGGGGGCACAGGGTGGGAAACGGGATGCAGGAGTCCCGAGAGCCAGGTGTGTTCCCGAAGCAGGTACCAACAGGCGACCTTCTGAGGCCGGTATTTTATAACTAGTGAAGTTCGTATAACCATGCGATGTTGGAATCCAAAACAAGATGGCAATGCAGAGCAAAATAAAGCTCAACCTGCATGGTGTGGTGGCGCAAGCCTATAATTCTAGCACAGTGGGAGGCTGAGAGAGGAGGATTCCAGGTTGCACCCCATGGTGGACAACAGTGAGGCCCTGTCTCAAAATTTAAAATTATCTGCTCCACAGAACAAAACCAAACCAAACCAACGAAACCTGAGTGCTCTTCCAGTTCCCCCATAGCCACAGTAGAAAGACAAAGCTCCTTTACTTGACTTTAAATATTCTTTTCAAACAAAAGCCCAGAATTGAATACAAATCAGAGGGAAAGGGTTATGGAGCCCTGCCCCGGTACCTTCTCGGCCTTGGTCATCAGCCCGGTCACCATCTGCCGGCCGACCTCCCCGAAGAACAGCTGGTTCCCGGGGTCCTCCAGAAGCCCCTGGGAGTGGGGACAGAGTGAGAGGGCGGGACAAGGGCAGGTGGCACCAGGGCCTGGCCTTGCTGCCCGGCTGTCCCTCCTCCTGGCCCCCCCCAAGAGGCCACACCCACCTCGAAGGCCTGCCGGACACAGTGCAGCTTGGCCAGGAAGTCCTGGTCACTGTAGCAGCCTAGCAGCTCAGTCCTGGGGTGGGGTGGGGAGGGGGACAGCGTCACACCGTGACCCAGCTGCCCATGATCCAAATCCCCATGGCTTCAACCAGAGCTTTCAATCATTTCTAATCAACGGACATTTTTTATTTGCTTTTGAGATGGGGTCTTGCTAAGTTATCCAGGTTGGTCTTGAACTTGAGATCCTCCTGCCTCAGCCTCCTAAACTACTGGAATTATAGGCATGTACCGGTGTGCCAGGTAATCAGTGGATTTTTAAACACATCAAACCTGCAAGCCACGATCAGAAAACCATGCTCTGTGTTTCATCCCTTCAGAAAAGTTCATGTAGGATGCCAAGCCAGCTACAGAGAACCACAGGGAGGGGTGCCAAGGCCATGCACTACACAGTGGTGGAAGCTGGAGAGCCTGGTCTGTCCACTCGTGGCCTCATTCCTGACCTCTGCCACAAAGGGTTGCATAAGGACACGGCTTGGGACTGTGGCTGCCCTGGGGCTGTGGCTGGGCCCTCTGAGGACCAGGATGGGAGGAGCCATCATGTGACTGATGCCACACGCCCGCCACTCTGATCACCAGGCCTGCCTGTGTCGGGTCTCGGCTCCTGCCTGACACCCCGCCTGCGTGCCTCACCTGAGGGTCCGGCAGGGCACCTTGCCCTCCTTGGCCAGCTGCAGGGCCTCCTCATAGGCAGCAGCGGGCCTGCAGCGTGGCACCGAGTAGTCTCCCACCTGCAGGGACTCAAAGAGCTGGGCAGGGTGCACAGGAAGGTGGGAGGTGAGCGGCGTCCCCGGGGTGGGGGCACCCACGGGTCACCTGGGGCCCTGCCCGCTGGGCCTTCTTGTGGGGCACTGGAAGGGATGTGTCCTGGGGTCGAATCCAGCTCTGGCCCCAGCATCTGCACCCCAGTGAGTGGACACAGGCTGCTGTCCCTGTCGCAGGCAAAGGCACCACCTGACAACGTGGCCACAGCAGGTGGCCGAGCACAGGCCGGGTCTAGGGGAGGGAGGGGACAGTGTGGGCTGAGCCCTCGGGGCTGGGACCTCTGCCGTCACTCTGGGGCTGCAAGCTGCGGCTTCTCAGGCCTCCCTCACCTAGTAGCTACTGTGTCCCCAGGAAGCCACTCATTCCCCACCCAAGTCACCTCGGTGGCCGAGAAGAAGGAGTCCTCAGAGGTGAGGCTGTCCTCGTCATCGGCCCGCAGACGCAGCGAGCCCTCGGTCAGGGGCAGCATGAGCGTCCTCTCTGCAAGAGCGCACGGGGGCTGAGCCAGCCCGGCCGGGCTCCCAGGCTCAAGTCCTGCCCTCGGTCCTCAGTGCTGGTGCTGGGGTCCCGCCCTGGGCCACGCCACTGCCTTCTGTCCCTCTGTCGGCTAAAATCAGCCTCCGGGAGCCCATGGGCCATGAGCCCGGTGCTCCTCTCTGGCTGCTCTGCAACCCGGACCTTTGGGGCGCCTAGGAAAGGTTGTTGTGTGGGTGAGCAGAAGCCTCAGGCCCTAACCATGCAGGACGCCCAGGCACAGGACCCTCGGCTGACCACGCCACAGAGGAAGCCACGCAAGTACACAGCCTTGGCCGACTCTCTGGGGCCCTGGTCCCCGCTGGAGCCTGGCAGGGACCTAGTGCACAAGGTCGCGCTGTGGGGCCGCCCTCTCTGGGACGTGCTGTCCCTGTGCCTCCAAGGGGCACCAAAAGGGCTCTTTCTGTGGCCCCCAGGCCTGCTCTGGGCCACCACCACCCAAGCCACGCCGTCCACACTGCTTGGCCCACAGCACCACATTCAGTCAAAGGCCACGCCAACGGGCCGGCCTACTCCAAGGGGTCTCATCGCGCCCCTGCCCTGCTCGCCACGCCCATGCCTTAGTTTCCCCATCTATGCCCCGACATCGGGCAGCACCGCACACCGTGGCTCACCCAGGTCCAGCAGCACACTGTCGGCGGGGAAGGTGGAGCCGAACTCCTCCTGCAGGTGGTAGGCGCGGTGCAGCAGCAGCTCCAGCTTCTCCGCAAACTCCCGCCGCTGCGACTCTGGCTGCGGGCGACACCAGGAGCGACAGCACAGGCTGGGACCCGTGTCCCGCAGAGCAGTCAGACGCCTGCCAGTCCCCACCCAGATGAGTCGGGAGCGCGGCACCCACAGCACCACTGCCACTGTTACCAAAAAGGCACGAAACTATCGCAGCAGGCTTTCGTGCGGATCCCAGAGTGAGAGGATCAGACTCTGGAGACAGAGGCATGGTGTGCATCACAATTAATTTCAACCGTTCCTGTCTTTTTTTTGTTTTGGTGGTACTGGGGATTGAACCCAGGGCCTTTGCACTGAGCTGCATCTTCAGCCTTAAAAAAAAATTTTTTTTTATACTGAGTCTGTGTCTTGCTAAGTCTCGAAGTTGCCCAGGCGAGGCTGGAACTTGCAATCCTCCTGCCTCAGCCTCAGAGTGCTGGGATGACACGTTCATCATTTCCAGGATCTGCCAAACCCTTTTCCAAAGTGGTTGTCCATTTTACACGCCCACTGGTAGCCTGTGAGGACTGCGATTTCCCAGCATGCTGCCGCCTGCTGTCCGTCTCTGGGGCCACAGCTGTCCCGGGAGTGAGAAGTGGTTTCTTGTATGTTTTTCCCTTTGCTTCTGGGGATGGAACCCAGGGCCTCCCACCTGCTAGGCAAGTGTTCTGCCCTAAGCCCTTGATTACATACTTCCCAGCACAAAACATTTTCATTCAAAACTCCCTGGGAGGACACAAAAGATCACTCTAGGAGGCTGACACAGGAGGATCTCTGTGAGTCTGAACTACACAGCCAGACGCCGTCTCAAAAAAAGGGCCTCCTTATGGAGGAAGGAATGAGGCACAGATCTTATGGGCCACAGAGGCCACGGGTCTCACACCCACCAGGGGCCAGGCCTGAGCAGTGGCCCTGTGTCCTGCGCAGAGTGCAGTGCTGCTGGAGTCTGAGGGCCTTTGCTCCACGAAGCAACCAGGAGGTATTGGCTCTGTGCACTGACCTCCTATATGTACGGTTTTCACTACTCTAGGAATATTTAATAGCTTCACACGATGGAGACCACACACATTCTACCATCTCAAGGTGTAGTTTTAGCACTAACTTGTGACACCTCCCCCTTCCTCACAGGCAGTGCCTGAAGTCCCTGCTTGGCCCGGCCCCACCCGGTAGGGCACAGCGCAGGAGGCCTCCCGCCCACCCCGCCCTGGCCGGAATCACAGGCCTGCACCAGCCCAGCTGGCTCCAACTCCCTTCCAGTGCTGTTTCATTTCCAGGCTGGGCACGGCTGAGCCCAACATCGCCACACTGCTCCCTATAAGGGGCCCCTCTGAACACGCTCCTGGGCACTCTGGGTTTGCTTTTCTGTCAGCACAGGAGGGCATGAAGGATAAAACCAAAGCAACACACGGTATCGCCACCTTATGAGCCCCTGCCATAAGCACGTGCTCAAAATTGTAAAAATTAAACAGAGAAGCCGAGCGTGATGGCGCACACCTGTAATCCCCCCTCTCAGGAGGCTGAGGCAGGAGGATCACTACTTCAAGGCCAGACCCTGTCTCAAAAATTTTTTTTAAATTTTGGCCTTTTATGTTTGTTTTTGTTTCTTGATACTGAAATAATAAATGCTCATTGTAGGAAACTTGGGAAAAGAAAAGAAGAAACAAAGGCCTTTCAGTGCAATCACTGTGCAGAGGCCCCTTTCCTTCCAGTCTTCCACCACGGCCCACTTTTCCTTCCCAGGGCTGGATACAGGTCTGGCTGTCATCAAGGCCCACATTTGAGCAATACAAAGTGCCAGCCACTCTGCTACGACGCAGGATATTTTATCTAAGCTGAGCACCACCCTCGTGGATGAAAAAGTACGGGCCAGGAAGGAAGCGGCCTGCTAAGGGAAGGTAGGCTGGGCCTGGTGGCGCACGCCTGCAGTCCCAGCATCCAGGAGGCTGAGGCAGGAAGATCACCTCAAGTTCGAGGCCAGCCTGGACTACATTTGGGACTACCCTGTCTGAGAACCAAAACGGGTAAGTGAAGGTGGGCAGAGAGCCTGCCTCTCTCGCGCTCCGCTAACGTGAAGCCCCCACCTCTGACAGTGCCTCGGAGGCCGACTCCGGGGGCCGCAGGAGGTCCCCCGGCGAGGGGGTGCTGCCACTGTCTCCACGCTGGCCCACGCTCAGCGCCTGCTCCCACTTCTGCAGCGCCTC